GCGATCATCATTTATCTGTCAAAATATTAATAACATTGAATGAAAAAATATAATTAGGAAATTCAAAGTAATTTCAAATTAGTGGAGTTTTGTAGGCTTTTTGTTTAAGCTTGAGCATAAAAGAAACTGGTGGAAATTTAGGTCAATTTTTTTTTTTTCCTTTGTTGATTGTTTTTAAAATTTAAAATACTAATTATTTTGATAATTTCAATAACCGCTTAAAAAAACACGGCCTTTATTTTATATTTTTAATAAAATTTTAATAGTATAGATGGATCACCGATAATTATCGGTCAACCAACTTTTGATAATATGAAAAACCACCAACCGACTCATTATAGATGGGTTGGTTGAAATTTTCAGCCCGATCCAATGAATCGGTTAAAAATTGATTATTCGCCTCAAAATATGGTCGGTAATGAGTTAGTTGATGGATAAAAACCAACCCAGTCTCAGCCATATACATATATATATTTTTTTAGAAAATTCAAGTCCATTACAAGGGGAAGTAAGGGAGGGTGGAATCTTCCAAATGAAAAGTCCATTTGGAAGTAAGGGAGGGGGGAATCTTCCAAATGGAATCGATCGAACTCGAATCGACAATGCAAATAAATTCAGAACATTGCTCAAGAAGGAGACACCATCGCCCTTTTGATTCCATATTTACCGTCATAATTATGAGTCTCGTGTGTAATAACATTTGACACTTAATTATGTCTTGATGTTGCATCAAAAAAAAAATTATGTCTTGATGTTCGTTTTATCATTTATGAGTGTTATACTGTTATGTACATATTTCTTATGTATATTATTTTCGACATTCAATTTTCTAGTTATAATAGTTGCGTAGTTACTAATTACAATTACTTTGAGATGTGATCATTATTTTAATTTTATTTAATTTTATTCATTTATTTATTTTTGTTGAGGGTAGTTGTGATCATTTTTCTAAGAGAATTGATTCTGACATCCATTGTTCATTTTGATATTTGAGCTTTGGTCAACTTGAAATTGAGAAATAATTATTCTATATACATAACGCAGAACACGCTTGTAGCGAGGATAATTAATTAACTAGTTTTCCTTAATTTACAAGGAAATCTCATGAGAAATGATATATATGTATCAAATAAGCAATGATTGGTTTACATTCTAAAATATAGCTGTCCTACGTAGGGGTGTAGTCGTGTAGATGAGTTGAGTCGGCTCGTGAGCTCGGACAAAAACTCGAACTCGAATTTGCATTTTTCGAACTTACGAGCTCGAGTTTTCTGACGAGTCAAGCCCGAGCTCATTCTTAGTTGTTCATGAACTCGCGAGCCGGCTCGCGATTTTTTTTTTAATATAATTAATATAAAATTAAATAATAAATTAATATAAATAATAAAAAAATTACATGTCATTTATTTCAATTTGTTTATTATAATTTCAAATATAATTAAAATTCTAATACTTTTAAAAAAACACACAAAATTGGGTTCAAGCTCGCCAGACAGCCAAGCTCGGCTCGTTTACACCCCTAGTCTCACGATATAGTCTTATAGTTCCATTTTAAATTTTCGAAATTCCAAGATACAAAACGATTTTTACAATATATGTATACCGATGGCTCGATCCGTCAATGATATAATAATATGTTAAACCAAATACATACATATTTAACCCCGCAACATGTTGTTGGCACTTATATAGAGAAGGATGGTTTTCAAATTTCGTTTTAATGCTAATATACAGTTGCTAGCTAGTTGTTATATATAAATAAGGGCTCATATGGCTGCTGGCTGCTGGCTGCATATATCCGATTAATTTTAATTGGACAAGATTGACTACATTTTATTGACTAGTTAATTAAACAACAGTATTATATGTAATTTGTCTATAAAACCTTTTATTAACAAAAAATAATAGGGTAAATAGCATTAAACCACCTAAACTTTTTACGTTTTTGCGGATCACCACCTGAACAATTTTTTTTTGCAAGAGTTCACATGTACTCAATTAATTGTGCCACTTTGCCGTTTTTTGCCCGTTTTCAGGTCATAATGACCGGTTCTGGACACACGCGCGTTGCACATGCGAAATCAAAGGGTATTGTTGGCTTTTTCATTTTTAAAATTGAATAAATGTAAAATAGAATAATTATTAAAAAAAAAAAAAACAAAAGGGTCTTCGTCTTGTTCCCAATCCCAGAAGAAGATCCACCACAACACCACATATACTGTACTGCTGCAACTTTATTTTTCCCTAATCATCACCATCATCAGGCCAACAAAAAGAAAAACGCCGCCGTTTACCCGCCGGCAATCAGCCGTAATTTCACATAGATGAACTCATCAAGGCCAACGGCGTTGGCGGCGGCAGACCATATCCAACCCCCCCACCCTACTCATCTAACTCACAATTTTCATCAATCATTTCTCTCATGTTGCAGCCACTCACCCCGAGTAACCAGCCTCTTGCACAACCACCAAGCTCACCACCACCACCAAATCTTCTTCAGATCCGCCGCCATCATGACTGAAATTGGACCTAAAATTAGGTCCAAAATGTTCATTTAATTTCCCCCTTTCCCCAATTCAAGTTATATGAACACTATTTTCTCTCGATTTCTTCCTCCGAACGACTAGATCTTCTTCCAACGAATGGAGGATTATAGGATCTTCTCACAATTGAGGCCGCCCCATGCCACGGCGGCGGTGAGCGGCGCTCGGCCGTGAGATCGGGTGTGCGCCGGTGGGCGGTGGGTGGTGAGATTGGTGCGACGGCAGTGGTCATCCTTGGAATTGCAGAGGCGAGAAAGTAATTATGTCGGTGGTTTGTTCGGATTTTTTGGGCCATGAGTTCAAAATACAGGGCTGAGTTGCTGGGAACAAGATGACGTTTTTCTTTTTCTTTTTTTACTTATTCTATTTAAGAAAATTTCATTTCAAAAAAGAAACATAAAATAAAATAAATAAATGAAAATTAACATTTATTCAATTTTAAAAATGAAAAAGCCAACAATACCCTTGGATTTCGCATGTGCAACGCGCGTGTGTCCAGAACCGGTCATTATGACCTGAAAACGGGCAAAAAACAGCAAAGTGGCACAATTAATTGAGTACAGGTGAACTCTTGCAAAAAAAAATTGTTCAGGTGGTGATCCGCAAAAACGTAAAAAGTTTAGGTGGTTTAATGCTATTTACCCAAAATAATATATAGTTTTAAGGATAAATCAGTATTTTCTATGTTTGGTCATCCGCTACAAAATCAATTTCAGGATATGTTATAAATTTAATGAAATAGTAACATTTAACTGCGAGTTTTAACTTTTGTAACGAATTTGAATAAAAGCGAATCTAATCAACCAAACGTGTTATTAGTAACTGAACGAGCCCCTAAATAAATAATGCTAGTTGACTTTGATTTTTTAACACGTTCTAAAAGATCTCATATCTCAATCGGAATAATCAAGTTTTCTTTAATTTCTCGACAGCAAAATCATGGGTCAAGTGGCAATACTCTAATAAATTATACCAGGAATATAATATAATATAATATAATGATGCGGATGCTTAACTTAATGGGAATTTAATAAGTAATGATTTAGAGGCTACTTGGCTAAATTTATTGAACATATGGGGTGATTTTTGAAACTTATTAAGGATCTTGAATTTAATTTTACATATTTAGTTGACTAATTGACTTTATTTTTTTAAGGTTCCCACTAGTGAAAATAATTGGAAGTTGAAAGAGTAATTAGTAGGTTTAGAAAGCAACTCCCAAGCAGCCAGAAAAAAAATTAAATAAACCAAAAAAAAAAAAGAAAAAAAGAAAAAAAAGAAATGATGCTTATAAATTCATGGGGTGCTTCATTGCATGCTTAGCGCAGTTCTTCATGTAAGAAAACTTGTTACTTTTTAGTTTTCTGTTCATCTATTCTTTTTTATTCTTCATGTAAAAATTATCTTTTTCCTTGTTTTTTTTCTTATGAATCGAAGCGACAAATAGCTGAATCTCAGCGGATCATGGCAGAATAACCAGTACTAGAGTTGCCGATGACAGTAATGTCGGTTGTTATTGATTTGACATTACTTAATGATTTCAGGAGCTACTAATAGCTGGAACAGATTCAAGCAGCATAACATTAGTATGGTTGATGGCAGAGTTGATAAAAAATCCTGACATTTTACGCAGAGTTGTCGAAGAAGTTGCAAAGGCATTCGAAGGAGATATGTTAATCGACGAAGCAGTTTTAACCGAGTCTAAGTACTTACAAGCTTGTATAAAGGAAACACTAAGATTCCACATGCCGGGCCCATTCTTAGTGCCACATCGTGCAATTGAGAAGTGCAAGATCCACGATTACGTAATACCGAAGGATAGTGTAGTCCTGGTGAATACTTGGGACATTTCGCTGGATCCCGAATATTGGAAAGATGCTTCGAGTTTCAATCCCGACAGGTTTTTAACTGGCGACTCGAAAATTGATTTTAGAGGGGCCCACTTTGAATATACACCATTTGGCGCCGGAAGAAGAATGTGCCCTGGATTCAATTTGGCTTTCAAGAGTATTCAAATTGTGGTGGCATCTTTAGTGCATTATTTTGATTGGAGTCTTCCCAATGGAATGGATCCGACCCGAATTGACACGGATTCCGTATTTGGAACAGTGCTCAAGAAGAAGAAACCATTACTTTTGATTCCGACTCCAAGAGATCGGAACAAAATGCGATAATTGGATCGATAATCATTGCCGATTACTTAATTTGGTTTTTGGTCTTCAATAATCCTAGCTATTTATGCTTCTAATATTTTTTAAAGATTGATTCGTCTTTGTAAAATTCCCATGTAAAATAAACATCTTGATGTCGATTATTTCACAAGTTTCGAATAAAAATATGGGGCAATTATCTTCATCCACGTTTAAGCAAATTCTAGGGTCAATGTTAACCATAAAAACAACACTAAATTCTTCGTGTTAAACTCTACTTTGAAATTGCTTGAAATACATAGTTGTTTGAAAAGTTTTCTAAGTAAGCTCTCAAACTAAACCCTCCAAGTATGCTCTCTATATAAGTATATGTTTAAGTCAACTTTCAAACTTAGACTTTCCCTTTCACATCAATAACTATGGCATTCTAATCAATCTCCGAAAAATGAGAAATAAGTTCCATCTCAAAATTTCTCAGCAAACGGCCATCTGCAGAGCTAGCCACATACGCACCTTGCGCCTTCCCCAATTCCGGCGCGGACATCAGATAGTCCTCTATCAATTATGATCACAGAAATCCAATTTTGACTTTTTTTTTTTTAAAAACTTTTTTTTACATAAATTATTTTTTTGCCACCGGTTTTCGGCGTTGATTTTTTCAATTTTTTTTTTTGTTTACGTCCGCCGTTAAACGTTGACCGTAATTGTGTTGTCAATAACAGTAATTATACTGTTACTGACAGTAAATCAACGTAATTATACTGCGTTGACAGTACATTAACGTAATTGTACTGTCATGACAGTACAATTACGTTAATGTAACAATTAGAGTCAATGACAATATTATTATTATTTTTTTGTTATATATTTTTATTTTTATTTTTTTGATTTGTTGACAAGTCAACGTAATTATATTATTGTCACTCTCAGTAAAATAACAGTCAACCACATCAATATTATTATGTTTTTGGTTTTTTGTTTGATTTGAGTTATTGACGGAGTAACGTAATAATATTACCGTCTATTACTGTAATATTACTCTAAACACAATAGTATTACTATGATTGATGGTAATATTACTGTTGTTAATAGTCAACCACAGTAATATTAATTATTTTGTCTTTTTATTATGTTTATCTTTGTTGAACGGTCAACATATTAATATTACACTATTACACAATAATAATGACTATTGTTGTGTTAATATTACAGTGCTAGAGATTAATATAACAATATTACTGTGTTAAACTGTAGTATAGTTAATTTTATTGTGTTTAAAAGTAGGGATAATTAGTGAAAACCCCCCACATCTTTTACATATATTAGGGTGGATATAACCCCTTTTTCAATATTAGTCAAACCCCCCTTAATTATTAAATTTAATTATTCTTTTTAAAATTGCTATGAATAATATCTAATTTGCCCTTAATGCTATATTATTTCACATCTGCCCTAATTTTATTACGCCATTCAACCGCCTCCATCTTCTTTTCTCAGATTTCTGTCATTCTCTCCATGCCCCATTCCGTCTCTTCTCTCTCATGAATGAATCCATGGTGAAGGAAAGAATCACTCCATCATAGCCTCCACCACCCACCATTGAAAAGCATAGTATGAACCGATGACTTTAGGAACAACCTCAAGGACGCGCTCGTATGGCTCTCCACTCCCTCAACATTGATGTCCAAGGCGCCAGATCTGAAGTTCTCGTCCCGCCGCCGCTGCCATCGCTCTGATCTCGATTTGGTTGTAGAAGACGACATCAAAAACTCAAAAGTCCCTCCCTACTCCACCCCTCAACTCCACCGCCGATATAGATACTTTGTTGCCCCCGCCTCTGCCCTGTCGTCGCCATAGTTCTGATTTTTTCGATTTTTTTTATGCTTTTGATGTTAGGTATTTTTACAGCAAATAGTTGTTTTGTTATTCGGCTATTTTTTATAGCTGTTTTTGTTATCCTGCTATTTCTTTTAGTTGTTTTTGATAGTTTTAGTTGTTTTCGACTTTTTTGGTTGATTTTCAAGTTTTTGGTAGTTGATTTTGTTTTTTTACTTTTTTATCCAATTATATGACCTGCTGGAAAAATAAAAATCAAAAAATATGAATTAAACAAATTAGTTGATGTATTTTTAGTTGTTTTCGACATTATAGTTGATTTTGATTTTTTATAGTTATTTCAATAATATGTAGTAATTTGTCAATTTGGTAAATTAGTTGCGAAAAAATTCGTTTTGGATTCAAAATAAATGATATGAAAAAAAAAAATGAATCTTTTGGTTGATTTTCAGAAAATTTTAGTCGATTTCGAAAATATTATTGTTGATTTTGGAGAAACGAAACTAAACAACTGTTGAAAATAATATTATTTTTTAGTTATTAAAAAATATTTATAAAAATTATTTAAAAAACTATTTTTTAAATAAACAAATCGAAAATTAAAATGGAAAATAGAAAAGAAATAAAAAAAGTATGTGCAACAAATACTAGGGAAGGGTAAATTTGATAATAAATAAAAGTTGGGTTTATCAATAATAAAGAAAAAGTGACTAGAACCATCATTATTAAAAAAATGCTTGAGGGGGTTTTCACTAATAGTCTGTTAAAAGTAATATTGTTAATATTACTATCAACCACAACAATATGGCTATTTAAATGGGGGCAAAAAAATTAAAAAGAAAAAAATATTCAAAAAAAAAATCGAAAAAGTCACGCCGGAGACCAGAGGAAAAATCAGGAAGAAAAAAAAAGTCAACGCCGGAGACTGGCGGCGACGGACGAAATTGTATTTTGGGTCAAAACTGAATAATTTGTGAAATTTAGGGTCGAATTGAGGTTAAATTAAATTAAAGAATGAAATTGAGGTATATTAAAATGTGTGGGGCTATTTTAGTCTTTTACAAACCTCTGGACCATGTGTGGACTTTTTTGTAAAAGAGTTTTTTGTATGTACGCCTTTATGAATAAGTACTCATTGGTGATCTTATTTGTAAAGTGTCATATAATATATTATATAGAAAATAGTAAATAATAATCAAAATTAATCGCAATATTAAAGCTTTGCAATATGTAGAATTATTTTTACCGAATTAGAATTGAACAAAGAAATTGATAGTTCATAATTTTATATCGAGTTTAATCATTTTATATTTGATTTGTAACATATGAGATTTTCAAATTGGTTTCTAAAATTGAATAAATTGTCAATCGTACAATCACTAGTATTATATACCTTTTATGTTGGAAAAAAAAAAAAACACAATAATATATTATATTTTTCATTTTATAAAATAATTATTTTTAAATTAAAACAAGAAATTTTGACTTGATACAGTAACCAACGAACATTTGGTATGGTTTCAATTTGACTAAACTTTAGGGGTAATTTAGTCCTTTACAGTTTTCTATTAAAGGAGGTTATGAGCCTAATTTCATACCATAAGGGGATCATGTGGAAAATGTCCAAACCACAAAAGGATTATGTGCCTAATTTTATATTATAAGGGAGTCATGAGCAAAACCACAAGAGAGTTAAGTGCTATTTACGCTTTTTCCTAAGGCGTTGGTGTTCATCTTTGGTGGTTCAATTTATAATAAGGGGTAATGGCAAATAGGCACATGACAAGGGCACTTAATTAAAAGAGGGACATCCAACTTTTTTGTCTTTCAAATAAATCACCACATTCAAACGTATTTGCAAATAAGGAAAATCCTTTTATATATGCCAAAATTACCCCCAATTCATTGAAACCCAATTTAACTCTAATTTCATGATTTACACCCCAATTTAGCCCAATTTCATCAATTAACCAATTTTAACCCTAATTTCAATTTTGACCCCAATTTTGACCTGCCACCACCGGAGACCGCCGGTCGCCGCCGTAGACCGGCGTTGACTTTTTTTTTTTTGAAATTTTTTTTCCTGAAATTTTTTTCCGGCCGGTCAACTGCCGTTGACCGCCGGGTCTCCGACGTTGACTTTTTTTTTTTCTTTTTTATAATTTTGTTTTTTCTTAAAAAAAATATTTTAATTAATATTACTGTCTTGGCTGCTAAATTACTGTCTCCGGCAGTTATTTAACTGTCGGAGACAGTAATTTAACTGTTAATTGACTATTTTTTTTTTCTTCAAAAATATTTTAATTAATATTACTGTATTCGTTGCTAAATTACTGTCTCCAACAGTTATTTAACTGTCGGAGACAGTAATTTAACTGTTAATTGACTTTTTTATTCTTAAAAAAAATATTTTTAATTAATATTACTGTATTCGTTGCTAAATTACTGTATCCGGCAGTTATTTAACTGTCGGAGAGTAATTTAACTGTTAATTGACCTTTTTTTTTCCTTAAAAAAATTATTTTAATTAATATTACTGCCTTGGATGTTAAATTAGTGTCTCCAACAGTAATTTAACTGTCTTAGACAATAATATTAATAATATTACTATTCGGAAAAATAATATTCATAATATTACTATCCCAAACAGTAATATTACTGTCTGAGACAGTAATTAGTAGCCAAGACAGTAATATTAATTAAAATATTTTTTTCTAAGAAAAACAATTCAAAAAAAAAAAAAAAAAGTCAACGACGGAGACCGGCGGTCAACGGTGGTTTACCGGCCGGAAAAAAATTTCAGGAAAAAAAAATTCAAAAAAAAAAAAAAAAAAAAACGCCGGAATTTGGCCGGAAAAAAAACATTTCAGAAAAAAAATTATTTTCTGAAAAAAAAAAGTTTTGGGGGTTAATGTGATATATTTGTTTAAATCCGGGGTCAATGTGTAATATTAAGGAAGTTAGAGCATAATGGGTGGAATTGATAAGAATTATATTATTGAATATTAAGGGTATCTTAGACTAAACACATGGGGATTGGCTTAATTGAGAGACTGTTTTTTTTGTGGACCAAAATGCATTTAAATCCCATGGGATGTGCCTTTTTGCCATTTGCCCTTATAATAATAAGCGTCTAATTCGACTCATTGCATCCAAAATGAAAATCTGGAAGATCGGAACGATATAAT